GATGCCCTAGCCAATGACACAGTTGGGTCCTGAACAGTGGTACCACAAAGAGCACACCAGGATGTCCGCTAAAGTACTTTGCCCGACTCAGTCCCAACTGGTTCCCTCCTGACCCATGGGTCCTTCCAGATTAATTCCAGGCGACTCGCCAAACAGGGTGTTCCAACGCCGGGCATCAGCTGCACTGAGGATATTTACTAAATGCCCTGCCCGATTCAGTCCCAATCAGTCCCCCTCTGCCTTCCCGTCCCAATCCATGCTTTGGTCGCAAACAGGGTGTTCTAATGTCGGGCATCCTGTAAGAAGACCTTGCGTTATTTCAAGTTTTTTTCATGAGAGAGCTAGTGTTAGAGCGACTCCTTACGCCTCAAGTTGAGCGTCTCAAAGCCCAATTGACGCTTGTGAGACGAAACCACTCTTCTGGCAGAATCCTATGTGGGGGAACTGCGTCTCAGAGATAGGGTGAAGTCCTAGCCTTTAGTCAAGCGTCTAGTCTAGTCGCCAACATCCACCAGAGCGGTCCAGTGCTCTGAGCGCCCCACCTGACAAGACTAGAACCTTGACCAGAGGCCAGGAATGCACTATAGCCAGTATCAAACAGCTGACCCCCAAACTTGGGAGTCAGAAATAAGAGTCTAATCTGGTCGACAGTTTCCTTGTGGCCCGTAGCTCTGGGTCTAGTCTGGTTCTTGTTCTCATTTCACTACTTCTAGTTGTTTTAGTTGTTGTAGATTCCCTACTGACCGGCCCGCATGAGTTTTGCCACGTCAGTGCTGCCGCGGCCTGGGTCCAAACCAGGGCCAGTGACCCTGGTTCCGCTGCTGGCTCGGCCTGAGTCCGAGCCAGCGTCTGCAACAGCCCCTTGGGGCGCAATGCCGCCTGCGGATTCCGCGGCACCTGGTTGGGTCACCCAGATTGCGGATGCCACGCTGGCATTGCCTTCGCATTCAGCTCCTTCAGTGGGGATCCCTCAGGATCCTTCGCATCCCGGCAGCTATGCCTTGCTAGTGGAGATTTCTCCGGGTTACGTCAGGATGGATGTGGCGAAGTGAGTCTATGCAGCGAGGGATTGCTGCTAGGTAGCCTTTCCTGAACACTCAATAATGTGAAAGCATTTAGAGAGAGTGAGACCTGAGGAATATCTCCCCCGCTTAAACCCTGAACAATGGCTGTAGCGCCAGAGGTACCTGCCCCCGTACCAGCACCTGCTATCAGGTGACGGCAACATGGCTGCATTTTCATCATGGTTCTCTACCCCTCACCCCCTCCTCTCTGCTCTGCTGCCCCCGTTGTCTCCCACACGCAGCAAGAGGACAGAGGTGGCTGCCCCATAACAGCGCATTGTTGCCAACTTACGGCTACAGGTGGCGATGCATTGCCTCACTCTCTTCTCCTCACCCATGCTCCCTGCTCTGCTGCTCCAATTGTCTCCCAGGCGCGCCAAGAGGAAGCGGCTGCAGGGGTCTCACCACTCCATATGCCTCTTCTGATCCATCCATCTCCTGCTGCTCTCCCAGGGTGCGCCAAGAGGAAGCTGCCTGATCACGGCTACACATGGCTGCATTGCCCTCATGCCCTTCCTTCCCTCGCCCACTCTACATGCTTCTGCTGTTCTATCCATCTCCTGCTGCTCTTCCAGGCGCGCCAAGAGGAAGCGCTATAGGTACCTGCCTCCCTACCAGCACCTGCTGCCACATGACGGCTACAGGTGGCTGCGCTACGGGCAGAAGGTGCTGACCGGAGGGACGCAAGTCAGGTAATGCTGCGGAGGGAGGGAGGGAGGGAGGGAGGGAGAGGAACTCAACAACAACAACCATAACCAAATCTGAATTCTCTGTATCTTCCTCTTATTGATGTGATTCACCCCATTTTTCTCCAGGCTCTGCTTCTGTTGCTCCTGCCGTGACCAGCGCGGCTACCACGTCCATTCAACCAACCCTCTCTATCCAACCCCTCCCTTCTCCCTCCTTTTTTCCCGTGCTTCACCTTGCCTTCTCTTTCTCCAGACTCTACTTCCGCTGCTCACTCCGCGCCCAGTGCAACTGCCAGGCTTTGCGCATCGTCAACTTGCACATCGAGATAAACCCGCCCACCCTCACCTGCGAGGCGGTTGGCACCCACAACCATGGGCTGGGAGCATCCGCTCAAGATGCTACAACGAATCAGGTCGGATCTGCTGCAGTGGACGCTCCAAAAGAGCGCCCTACCCCTTTCCAGTGTGAAGCGGTCCGCACAGACAACCACGGGCAGGGAGCATCAGCACAAGATGCTGACGCAACAGAGTGTGCCGCACAAGCAGAGGACGCAAGGGCATCCGAGCCTTCCTCCCGAGGCTTGGCACGAGGAGAAAAGCAGCGGGCGTTCCTCGTAGGTAGTACGGCTGAAGGGAGTGGCGAGTCATGGCCATTTGTGTGTGTGGAGGCAGCTGAGTTGAGCTGTGGTGTGCAGCAGAGCGGGAAGGGTCAATCCGGTGCTGGATTCGCAGCAAGCAATTCTGATACGCAGCAAGAGGCAGCAATTCGGCATTGCAATGTGATGGTCGATGATGGGGCTAGAGGGGAAGCAATGGGCAAGGTTGCGCTAGGAAAGGGGCCGATTGGGAAGCTATTTTCAGACAACATATTGCCACTGCCAGAGGTGAATGGTCCAGCTGCAGCAGCAGCAGCAGCAGCAGCTCAGGCATCACCAACAGCCGCACCAGTACTGGCACCGCAAACACCGGAAGCAGCATCTCTTGCCTTCTCGTCGCTGCCTCCCATGCTCGCACTATCCCCTCCAGACCTGCAGTGTGAATCAAAATCTCCCATGCTTCTCTCTGCACATCCAACCTCAAGGGAATTGCACAACGATGCCTCCGGTGCTCCATCCTCCAGTGGGAATCTCACTCTGCGCCTGGAGAACCCTGCTAGAAAGAGCCAATCAGTGCCGGGAACAATGCCAGCCACGCTGTGGGGCTACCTACAGGGGCAATTTTCAGTGCAGAGATCCTCGTTATTAAGCAACTGCTGGCAGGTTCAGCATGTGCAGGCCCGGAATCGCCTCGGAGAAGTTGATGGGGGCGTTTTATCCCCCAAGCCTGTTCAGGTCCTTGATTTCCGGCCACTAGCCCCCCCTAGCCCCCTTCTGCTTTCCTCTGATCTGGAGGAGCCTCGAAATCAGGGTCCTATGAGTTTCTCACATGCTGGGCAAGAGAGCATGGGTGAGATGGTGGAGCGGAATTTTGTGCCATCTACCACAGCAGGTGGGGAGGGACGGTTGGTGATTTCTGAAGATAGCTCTGGCATGATTGTTGTGAAGCCGGTGAGTGCCGGTGATTCGCATGAGATGTATGACTCATATGCTGCGTTGCGTTCTCGTTTATGTTGAAGTATACTCAACAGAGTTACCACTTATGCATTCCTAATAACAGTTAGACTATACTAGTAGTGCGATCCTCACATGGAAGGACGTGTGTGATGGCGACAGCAGTAGCGAGCAGGGCCTCAGATTGGTTTTGAGGTACCCTGATAGCTCGGAGTCCACCCACATGTTTAGCCTGTTTTTTCAGGGTGCCCCCAGAAAGAAATCCGCTGAGTAATCAGGGTTACTTCAGAATTTCACACTGATTCTGCGAAGTTGGGAGATGGGCGAAAAGAAATCCGGGGAGGGCGGGGACTGGGGGAGGGGGGGGAGGAGGCTGGGTTCCCTTCCCACAAACGAGGAGGCAACCATGATGATTCTGAGGCCACTTTTTACGGCGACTTTGCTTCAAGAAGCCTCGGCGAATCAGATTTTGCCGTTCGATCCTAACAAGATTGGACAGGTGGGGGAAAATCTTGTCAACATATATTTTGTATATGTTATAGGCCAGATAGGTGCATGCTCATAAAGAGTACAACACCTTAGGTTATATTCCCTTGTACCTCATCATTCTAGTCAACCTTTCTACTCTGAGATGGTATCACGCTAGGTTAGGATCCCGTCCACCCACGCTTCTGCCCTAGTCCTAGCCCTAGCCCGAGCCGCCCGTCGCTAGCCGCCCGTTCCTAGTCGACAGTCGCTAGCCGCCGCTCCTAGCTGCCCGCCACCCGTCGCCCGTAGCCCGCTGGCCGCCAGTAGCCGCCAGCGGACCGTAGCCTCCAGCCCACTGGCCGGCCTTAGCCGCCAGCTGCTCGCCGCCCGTCGCTGCCGCCCGTAGCCGCCAGCTGCTCGTAGTCCGCTGGCCGCCTGTCACCGCCCGTAGCCGCCAGCCCGCCTGCCTTGCGCCCGCTGGCCCCGCATTTGCCAGCCTTGCACTCCCTGGCCCCGTGCCTGCTGGCCCCGCATTCGCTGGCCCCGCACTCGCCAGTCCCGCGCTTGCAGTCCCCGCGACTGCTGGCCCCGCGACTGCTGGCCCCGCACCCGCTCGCCGCTGGCCCCGCAAATGCTGGCCCCACGCCCGCCCGCCTGCGCCCGCTGGCCCCAATCTCGCCAGCCCCGCGCCTGCTGGCCCTGCGATTGCCAGCTCCGTGCCCGCTAGCCCAGTTCCCGTCGGCCCCGTGCGCCCGCTGGCCCCGTGCGCCTGCTCATCCTGCGCCCACTGGCCCTGCTTTCGCCAACCCCGCGCCCGCTAGCCCCACGTTTGCCAGCCAACCGCCGCCGGCCCCGTGCTCGTGTTGGTGCAACCCTATGGCTTGCACTCGGCTTGTCGTCCGTGTTTGTGTGTGTGCATGCATGGCATGGAATGACTTGTGAGTCTATGTCATTGCTATCTAGTGCTTGTGTGTGTGTTTGAATGGTGTCTCACAATGTGGTGTGTGTCGGTCAAGACATTAGTGAGTTTTTACAACTCGCATGTCAAGTCGTCGTTTGCGTGTCGCATGTGTTTTTCTATTTTGTCAAGTGTGAAGTGTCCATCGCGTCGCAGGTGTGTGCAGCAAGCCCCCATCAACTCAAGAAGAATTTATCTTGAAGAACCAAGACCAAGAGCTCAAGATTTCAAGCCCAAGGGACGCGGATAAATATTAAATAGTGAAAATAGTAACGCTACTTCGTGTAGTGTTACATTTCACTTGGTGTAGCCCCTTGGAGGGTTTGTTTTGAGACTCTTCGTGGTTGGGGACTCTGTGGTGGTGTACCACCAACCTGGACCTCGGCTCTTGGGGTATGTAGAGGCTGGGAACCATCTCCCTCTCAAACTCTTCTTGCTAAGTTTGTACTCCTAAGACTATTGTGGCTGCTATACCTCCTGCCAGTCAAACCGCCATAGCGTCGTCAAATCTTCATGGAATTTCATGATTCAACTTGCTGCTGATAGACGACAGCAACACGCTCCAGATCCAATTTACACATCACCGTTTGATTCAGTGACCAGATCGTTATCAGTATTTGAAGCCGTCTGACAGAAATCTGACTGTGCTCTCTATCTCTCATTATAGGCACATCTAAGCCTATTGTGATTATAACAAGTGGTATCAGAGCCCCTTGGAGCTGTCTCGACCATGCCTAGGCCTGAGGAAGGGGGTGGCAGAGGTGTTGGAGGCAGAGAAGACGCCCAAGCACAAGGTCAACACCAAGATCCACCCGTTGCTCCGGTGCAACCTAGCCTTGGACCCTCTAGGGATGAGCCTAGAGTGTTTGGCCTTGACAAGTTCAACGGTGACAACTTTGCTGAGTGGTCCTTCAAGATGGAGAACATCTTTGACCATTATGATCTGCTGGAGGTGATGGAAGGAACGGAGAAGCACCCCGAGAACGACCCGGAGAAGAGCCCGTGGGTGCGGAAGAGCGCACAAGGCTACCTTCTACTTGGGCAAGCGTTGGGGAGCAGCCAAATCCGTCACATCAAGCCTTTTCAGCGTGAACCAGCAAAGGGACCAAAGGCATGGGCTGCTCTCAAGGGTGTACACGCTCCTGCAACAGCGGCGGTGGCTGTGGTTTTGGAGCGGCAAATGGCGGCACTTCGAATTGACGAAGGCGAACCGGTGGAGGAAGGAGTGCAGAAATTCTTCGACTTGTTGACACGGCTCGAAGGAGCTGACCTGAACTACAGTGACCTTCAAAAGAAGACCAAGCTGCTAGCCTTACTTCCGGACTCATGGTCCTCGCTCATCATCAACCTTAATCGAGATCTGCCCCGTCTCTCACTCGAAGATGTGAAGCGGGAAATCTTACAAGAAGATTTCCGCCGTCGCGAATTGGCGGGTCCCGATGGTGCCGGAGTTGCAAGCATGGGCCGTGGGCACGGCCGTGGAAGGGGCAGAGGGCGAGGAGGCAGATTTGGCAGCAGCAACTTCAATGGAGGCCGTGGTAATGGAGGATATGGCAGCAACAACAATGGCTACGGGCGTGGGCGCGGTCGATTTGATGGCGAATGCCACTTTTGCCACAAGACCGGCCACATGTGGAGAGATTGCTTCAAACTACCTGATGGCTGGACCCCCTCTCAAGGCCAAGAGGGCAGAGGAGCAAGGGGAGGAAGAGGCAGAGGTCGTGGAGGCCGTGGTGGCCGTGGAGGCGAAGCGGCAAGCATGAAAGGTGGAGACTACGACAAGGACTCGAGTGAAGATCGATACCCGGGCCAATTCTTCTTTGTCTCCACGCAAGCGGCAGCTGCAGCAGGAGGTGTGGAAGGCTTTGAGGAGCCAGCTACTGTGGGAAAGGTCACCCTTCACTCTCTGGACTTTTGGGTGATCGATAGCGGCGCCACCTATAGCATGACACCTCGTGCGGACTTGCTCACCGAACTCGAACCGTCGCCGGTCAAGCATGTTACATCGGCTTTGGGACAGCGAGCAGAGGTGAAAGGCATGGGCAAGGCCATGTTCAAGGGTGCTGATGGGAAGATGGTGGGCCTCAAGAACGTGCTTTGGGTGCCCAACCTTGCAGCCAACCTGATTTCTGTGCGGCATTTGCAAAAGGCCGGCATGGACACATCTTCCAAGGGATCCAAAACTTATACCGCGCGGCTTGGTGAGCGGAAGCTTTGGGACCTTCATGAGGACAGGGACATCTACAATGAAATGTGGCAAATCCCAGTGGTCCCCATGCCTAAGGAGAGGCAAGTGGCAGCAAGCATCAGCACCAAGAGTGAAGCGGTTGGTGGCGGTGATCACGGAAAGCAAAGTGACACCAAGAGTGACTCGAACGAGTGCAATCTTGGAGAGACCAGCAAGGCATGTGAATCCAAGGAGAGTGGTGCAGCAGCCAAAGGTGGTGGAAATGAGGAGGAGAATCATAAGATCAGCAAAACAGCAGCGGCGAAGGAGAAAGGAGAGAGCTTGTGGGGCACAATTGCGAGTGCCGCTTTCTCCAACCCGACCTCCGCTACGGGAGAGTGTGATTGGCTGACCTTGCATCGGCGAATGGGGCATGTGGCATTGCCCATTTTGCAGCAGATAGTCAAGCAAGACATGGTCAGTGGGATACGTGTCAAGGGGGAGCCCAATGAGGTGCTTGGCTGTCCAACATGCATGCAAGCCAAGTTCACCCGCTACCCGTTCCATAGCTCGGAGACAACGGCGAAGGCACCACTTGATGAGGTGGTGATGGATGTGGTGGGTCCCTTGAAGCTTGGAGCTGCTGGAGCTGAGTACTTCCTCACCATTGTGGACGTCTACACTCGCATGACTTGGGTATATGTGCTGCCCAAGAAGAGTGACGTGGCTGAAACGGTGAAGACCGATTGGTTGCCGATGGTGGAGCGGCAACAAGACCGACTTGTGAAGGCGATTCGCACTGACCGTGGGGGAGAGTTCCTGAGCAAGAACTTCTCAACTTGGCTGAAGAAGCAGGGCATAAGGCACTCTCTTACCATGCCCTACTCTCCTGCAATGAACGGCATCGCCGAGCGTGCGAATCGGACACTCACGGAGACGGCTCGGGGACTTCTCATTGAAGCCGGTCTTCCCAATTACTTTTGGCCGGATGCGGTGCGGCATGCTTGTGTGGCCAAGAACAGAGCCTTGACTCATGTGGGAGAAGACAAATGGGTGCCCTATGTGGAGTGGATTGGAAGGAAGCCGAAGGTGGATATGCTTCGGGTGTTCGGGTGCATGTGCATGGCACTTGTGCCTAAGAAACTTCGGCACAACAAACTTGATGCCAAGGCAACATGGGCCGTGCACCTGGGCATGGCTCAAAACAGCAAGGGATGGCTTCTTTGGGACCCATTTACCAAGAAGTTCTTGGTGAGCAGAGATTGCAAGTTCATGGAGAACTTACCGTACAAGGAGTGGAAGGCGGAGAACCAAGCGAAGATTGGTATGCGGCTTGGAGAGGTGAAGAGTAACGGCTTGGAGCATGTGGAGCTGCCCTTGGAGCTGAGTAGCAGCAGCACAGTCACGAGGCAATCTCCTCAAATGAATGGGGATGAAGAGGAGGAGGAGGTGCAGCAAGGTGATGAGCGTGCACCGTCACTTCCGCCTCGTGCTACAAGTGCTCGTGGGAACCGACCAGATTTACCGCAATGCCATGAGAGCATTCAAGTCCCTGCAGCAGAGGAGGAAGGAAGGGGGAGAAGGAGAACTCAGCCCCCTAATAGGTTGAGCTATGATCGGCTTGGAAGACCAGCCAACTCAACCTTGACCGGTTCGGCTCTCATGCTAGGCGATGATGCGGAAGATGAAAGCGAGGAGTGCGCCTTTGCCTTCTTCTCTCCGGTGGAGATGCCGGGGGAGCCTACAAATCCCAAGGAGGCTTGGGAGGGCCCCAATGGGAAGGAGTGGAAGAAGGCCTCAGATGAAGAAATGGGGAGCATCATCGAGAACGACACGTTTGACTTGGTGAACCTACCTCCGGGGCGTAAGGCGATCTCTTCCAAGTGGCTCTTCAAGCGCAAGACCGACGCCGACGGCAACATCGAGCGCTACAAGAGCAGACTTGTAGCCAAGGGGTATCAGCAGCAAGAGAAGAAGGACTACAATGAAGTGTATGCTCCTGTGGTGAAGGGTACAACCCTTCGAACCCTCTTCGCCGCGGCGGCCATCAAAGGATGGGTGGTGAAGCAAATGGATATCGTAACGGCCTTCCTCAACGGCGTTTTGGAGGAAGAAACCTACATGGAGCAGCCAGAGGGGTACAATGATGGGAGTGGCAGAGTGTGGAAGCTGAAGAAAGCACTCTATGGCCTCAAGCAAGCCCCTAGGCAATGGTACATCAAGCTGCGGGAAGTTTTGGAGGCGATCGGCTTCACTCCCTCAACGGCCGATCAATCGTTGTTCATGCTTGGCGAGGGGGAGCAGAGGAGCTTCATGGTGGTTTATGTGGATGACATCCTTATATTCTCACCCTCCTCTGACCTTGTGAAGGAGGTGATGCTGAAGCTTCAAGACAAGTTCAAGTGCAAGACCCTTGGTGACGTCAACTACTACCTTGGGCTTCACATTGAGCGAGATGTGGAGAAGCGGTGGATGCGAGTGCATCAAAAGAAGTACTTGGAGGCCTTGGCTGCAAACTTTGGGAAGAGTGAAGGTCATGTGGCTACTCCTCTTCCCTCAGGGTTCAAGTGTGTGAAAGGACCAGCGGAGGAAAGTGTTGGTGAAGAGGAGAGGCGCCGTTTTCACTCCTTGGTGGGCAGCCTCATGTATGCGGCCGTTCACACAAGGCCGGATGCAGCCTTTGCTACCGGGCAGCTGGCTAGGGTTGTCCAATGCCCTAATGAAGAGCAGGTAGCAGCTGGAGAGAGAGTGGCCAAGTACCTTGGCCAAACAGCAACTGTTGGACTGCAATACTCCGCGGCGGCACAAAGGCGTCAAAAGGGTGCGGATGGAGTCGAACCCGGGAGGCTTTTTCTCACCGCCTTCTCTGATGCATCTTGGGCATCAGAACCAGAGGACATGACAAGTGTGGGAGGCTTCATCTGCTGTGTTGGTGGAGGGCCAACAGCTTGGGAGAGCAAGAAGCAAGTGGACCAAGCATTGAGCTCGGTGGAGTCCGAGTACATGGCACTCTTCCGTGCCATAAGAGAGGTTGTGTGGCAGCGGCGTTTGCTAGCTGAATTGGGGGAGGAGCAGCAAGGACCTACCCCACTCTACTGTGATAGCCAGGGTGCTATTGCATTGGCTAAGAACCCCGTTCTTCATGGCCTTACCAAGCACATGAAGGTGAAGTGGCATTGGGTGAGGAGCATGGTAACCGCGGGTGAAGTGGAGTTGCACTACGTGAAGACGACGGCGCAGCCAGCTGATATGATGACCAAGAGGCTGGTTGAGCAGCAGCATTGGAAGTGTTGCAAGCTTGCTGGGATGGCTCTGAACTAAGGGGAGCAGATTCTAAGGCCAACAATCCGAGGGGGAGTTTGTTGGTGCAACCCTATGGCTTGCACTCGGCTTGTCGTCCGTGTTTGTGTGTGTGCATGCATGGCATGGAATGACTTGTGAGTCTATGTCATTGCTATCTAGTGCTTGTGTGTGTGTTTGAATGGTGTCTCACAATGTGGTGTGTGTCGGTCAAGACATTAGTGAGTTTTTACAACTCGCATGTCAAGTCGTCGTTTGCGTGTCGCATGTGTTTTTCTATTTTGTCAAGTGTGAAGTGTCCATCGCGTCGCAGGTGTGTGCAGCAAGCCCCCATCAACTCAAGAAGAATTTATCTTGAAGAACCAAGACCAAGAGCTCAAGATTTCAAGCCCAAGGGACGCGGATAAATATTAAATAGTGAAAATAGTAACGCTACTTCGTGTAGTGTTACATTTCACTTGGTGTAGCCCCTTGGAGGGTTTGTTTTGAGACTCTTCGTGGTTGGGGACTCTGTGGTGGTGTACCACCAACCTGGACCTCGGCTCTTGGGGTATGTAGAGGCTGGGAACCATCTCCCTCTCAAACTCTTCTTGCTAAGTTTGTACTCCTAAGACTATTGTGGCTGCTATACCTCCTGCCAGTCAAACCGCCATAGCGTCGTCAAATCTTCATGGAATTTCATGATTCAACTTGCTGCTGATAGACGACAGCAACACGCTCCAGATCCAATTTACACATCACCGTTTGATTCAGTGACCAGATCGTTATCAGTATTTGAAGCCGTCTGACAGAAATCCGACTGTGCTCTCTATCTCTCATTATAGGCACATCTAAGCCTATTGTGATTATAACAGCTCGCTGGTCCCGTGCCTGCTGGCCCCCTGCATTTGCCAGCCCCGTACCCGCCGGTCCCTGCACCTGCTGGCCCGGCACCTGCCAGCCCCGCGCCTGCTGGCCCAGCGCCCGCCAGCCCTGCGCCTGCTGGCCCCGTGCCAGCCCGTCCCGCGCTCGCAGGCCCCACGCTCCCGCCAGCCACGGCTCCGCCAGTCCCAGCCCACCCCGGTCCTTCCTACCGACAAGCCAAGCTGACCCGCCGGCCTTGGCTCCTCCTCTGAGCCGGCACTCCCACCGGCAGCCTCCACCGCACTCCACCAAACTCCACTGAACTTCACTGCACTCCACCGCACTCCACCGCTTTCCACCGCACTCCACCGCTCTCCGCCGCCCTCATCCGTGTTTCCTCCTCCCCTTGTCAGCGGCAGTCAGCTACTGCAGTCGTGGCGATGACGGAATCTCTGCTCCGCCTGGACGTGGAGGGTCGGGCTGTTGAGTTTGACGCGTGGCTCGTCGACCTCCGCCGCCAGCTGACCGGGCAGCGCCAGGACGGCCACTCCCTTGTCGTCCATGTCGACGGTAAGCTCCCTTGCCGCAACCCGCCTGCTGCCCTCCTTGACGCCCCTCACGTCTGCTGCACGTGAGGCTTTTGTCGCTGCTGAGCTTGCCTGCGCGAGGCCGTTGCTCAACTTACTATTTGTCATGCCCTTCCCCTGTCTGAGCCTCCTCGCTTTACCGCTGTAGCGAACGCCAAGGAATACTTAGATGTCATCATCGCACGCTATTCCACCCCCGCCTCAGCCTCTACCAACCGCCTGATCCTCCCCATGCTGTTCCCTGATCTTGCGTCCTTCCCCATTGTCGCTGACCTTGCCACTCACCTCCGCGCACTTGAGACTAGCTACCACATTACTAGCACTGAGGCAAACCTCACTGCCTTCCCACCGCCGCTCTGCGCTACCCTGTACCTCATTGCCACGTGCCTATCGGACCGCCTAGCCACTGCCCGCGACCACTTCCTTAGTCAGCACCCAGGTGACCTCACCCTCACTGCCTTTGTCGCCGCCCTGTCCGCGATAGAGGCTCGCCAGTGAACTATCACCCAGTCTAGCGCTACAGCGTCGGTCCCTATCTTCCAGGGCTGTGCTCCCTCCCAGTGCACTTACTCTGACGTTTCTGCCGATGTTGCTAAGACAACCCTTGCTGTTGAGACCGCCGCCGCGGCCTCAGCGCAGCAGCGTCAGGGTAGGGGTCGCCGCCCCAAGGGGAGGCGTGGCAAAGGGAAGGGTGGTGGGGGTGGCGGGAGTGGTGGAGGTGGGGGCGGGAATGGTGGTGCAAACGACGGGACCGGGCCTTGTGCCCTGGAGCAGCAGCAGCAACAGCAGTCTGAGCAGCAGCAGCAGCAGCCTCAGTAGCAGCAGCAGCAGACGTAGCAGCAGCAGCCGCCGTGGTGGCCTGGTGGCGCTGGTGGTGGTCGTGGTGGTGCCCCGTGCAGCTCGGTGTCGGGTGGCTGCTCTAGTGTGGCCACCTGCCAGTACCAGCTTTAGACAGGCCCCGCCGTGGCACCGTCTCCGACCGTCCAGGTCACACCACCGCCCACTGCTACTACTGCCCCGACGACCTCTACTGTCTCCGCTTTGGTCCCATATCGAACCCTCCTCACTGGTACGCTCTGGACCGCCGCCGTGTGCCTGTGTTTGAGTTTGACATGGATCAGATTAGGACTGCTATGTATGTCATGTATGCTGATGACTCTAGTGTGACCAGATCTTAATACCCTGTGTTGCCTAGAGTGGGCGTGCCTCCTGTGTGTAGTCTAGGTTCCCCTTCTGTGTCTGGCGTAGGACCTCCTGCCTGGTTTAGCTTAGGCTCTACGCTAGCCCCCCCGCTAGCCGCCGCTTTTGCAAACGCTACTGCTTTGCTCTCTTTCGCGCTCGAATTTGGAGCATCTACCTGCTTCTTCCGCGACCACACTTCGCTCAAGCCGCTTACTGCCCCTGCTGCTGTAGCGCTAGCTGACCCCTCCTAAGATCCCATATTCGCACGTAGCTCTACTACCCTTCCCTGTCCGGCAGTCCCCTCGGAATCTCCTACAGGGTTGCACATCCCCTCGTGTCTGCTGTCTTCAGCAACTTGGCATCACCACTACTTTCCGTGGAGATGAGCGGTACGCCGTCTGTACCGAGGCCGCCACTGGTGCCCCTCTTACCATGTTCCCCCGGGACCCCATGTCTGGCCTGTTCACGCTGGACATTGCGTCCCCCTCTGGTTGGAGCATCACCCCAGGTCGCTGCATCCTCTCGGGTAGTTGCAGCCTTCTCGTGTCGATCACTCACCCATCCTTCACTGCTGTGGCACCACCACCTAGGTGACCCCGCTCTCCTGCGTCTGCGTCACATGTCCCATCACGGGCTTGTCTCCCTGCGTCGCTCCCTGCCCTGCCTCCCTCGCCTGCGCTACTTTCTAGTGGTTGTCGACGACTTCACGCGTTACACTACGGTGTTTCCCTTGGAGAAAAAGGCCGACGTGCCTTACGCCCTTATCTCGTGAGTCGTAGCTGCGCGAGCCCACCGTGGCCTCCCCGTGCTACGTCTCCACTCTGATCGTGGCGACGAGTTTGCCTCCGGTCGGCTTGGCCAGTTCTGCCGTGCAGAGGGCATCACCCAGTTGTACACCCTGCCAATCTCCCCACAGCAGAATGGGGTCACTGAATGACGCATCAGTTTGGTCATGGAGGTCGCTCGTACCTCCATGATACATGCTGGTGCACCCCAATTTCTGTGGCCGTTCGCTATTCACTACGCCACTCACCAGCTTAACATGTGGCCACACTCCCAGCGGCCGCAGTATTTGCCGGCCCTTCTCTGGATCAGGTTCTCTGGTGACGCGTCTGCGTTCCATATCTGGGGCTGCCTTGCTCACGTTTGTGGCTCTGGCATGGACAAGCTCACTGCCTGCATCGTCCCTTGCGTCTTCCTTGGTTCCCCCCTCGACGTGGCTGACTGGCACTTTTACCACCCGCCGTCTCACCGTTTCTTTCACTCCCGCGACATCAATTTTGACGAGTCTGTCTCTTTCTACACCCGCTTTCCCCACCGAGGTCTATCGGTTACCCCGCCCCTGTTCCTGGTCCCCGCTCCCCCGGTAGCCCCTGCTCCTCTTCCTCCCCGTCCAGCCCCATCTGGTGTGTCTCACATCTCTCCGCTCCCGTCTGTTGTCCTAGTCGAGGAGTTGGCTCACTTCGGGGGGCCCGCAGCTTTGGTGTTGCCACCTGTCTCTGCCCTAGTGTCCCTTCCTCCGCCGCCGTCGCAGCAGCCAACGTCCCCGCCTCAGCCGCAACAACAGTCCTTGCAACCGCAGCCGCCGTCACTACTGCTGCAGGGGTCCGCGAGCTCTAGGGGTGCGGTCATTGAGGAGGGTGCTAGTCGTAGGGCTCGTGTCGTGGCTTGTCCCGGTGGTCCTAGGGGTGGCACCTGTAATGGAGAGGGTTCTCGTTAAGGGGGTTCTAGTTCTTGGGGTGCTAGTCCTAGGGCTATTATTGTGGCTTCTCCCGGCAACCCTAGGGGTGGCACCGGTGGTGGAGAGGGTTCTCGTTCTGGGCGTGCTGTCGTGGAGAGTCCCGGAGGTAGCTGTGGTGCAGTAAAAGGTTCTAATGTTGGCGTGGAGCAGCAGCAGCAGCAGCAGCATACACTGCCAGTGTCTACCCTTCGCCTCCTTGGTCTTCCCTCCCTTGACCGCTCACCTGTGCCTCCCCCGCCTGTCTACAGTCCTGCGTTTCCTCCGCCGGACTCCTCCCCGGCTCGTTTTCCCCCGCATTCTCCTCGTATGTCTCCTCCTCGCTTTTCTGACCCCACGTTTACCGTCGCCTCCTCCATCGTCGCTTGTTGTCTCTTCGCCCCCTTTCTTTGACTTCCTCCATGCCGCTACTACTTGTTCGTCGCGTTCTTGCCTCTCTTGTTACCGGCCCTTCCGTTCCTGTCTCAAGTCTTGACACTCTTGTCGCTGCTGTAGATGACTTTGCCTCTACTCGCCACCTTGACTTCGCCACCGCTCTGGTCTCTGACCCTGTCCGTCCTCCGTCCGTCAGGGGTGCTTCTACCCTTTGCAGTGACGTCCTGGAGGACCGGCAGTACGAGCTTGCTTTCCACTCCGAGGTCACGCCTCATCTCTGCTCCGTGTTGCTAGTCCCTCAAGGTGACCCAGACGCCTTTGACATCCCGACCCCTCGCATTTACGCTGAGGCGACTTCGAGATACTGGGCCTCTCAGTGAATAGCTGCCATTGTCACAGGATCGAATGTGTCGAGGAAAGGTTGCACTATCGATCAGTACAAGGCGCTTTTATACTTCCAAAGTACATCAGGTAACCAGGTTTATCTTATCCTAAGGGAATAGACCCTTCTAGAAGATAGAATCACCCTGCGTATAGCCACGCGAGGCTATTGGCTTTAAGGGATTACGGCAGGATTACGCCAGATAGTGCGCACCAGTACATCCCAAGCCTGGTCGGTGATATAATTATAATAGCAGGATAAACCAAAGGTTAATGGAAAATAGGAAACCAAATGAGATGAGATAAAGAGAAATGAACGAGGAAGGAAATAAGAAAAGGGACAAGTGGTGTAACGGGGTCGTACTCTCACACTTCCCCCCCTCAAAGCTGGGTGGTAGAAGTAACACCCTGCTTGACAAGGTAGTCATGCAGAGGGCGACGGGCGTTACCCATGTTGGACTCAGGGACCCAGCTGTCCTCAGAAGGATCATAACCCTTCCAACGGATGAGAAGCTCCATGGTGCCATTCCGACGTCGGCGGTGTGCTAGCACGGACTCGACCTCGTACTCGGGTTCATTGTGGACGAGGACGGGCGTCGGCGGCGGCGGTTGGCGTCCGACGAAGATCGTGTTCGGATCCCGGTAGGGCTTCAGAAGCTGGACATGGAAGGCGTTGTGAATCTTCCAGGTAGCTGGCAGGCGTAAGCGGAAGGTAACAGGAGTGACCTGTGCTTCAACGAGAAAAGGCCCGCAGAAGCGAGGTCAAAGTTTAGATGGGAGGTGGCTGATGTCCAGGTTGCGGGTGTCAAGAAGCACCTGGTCTCCCACCGTGATGGTGTGGTCGTTGCGATGGCGATCGGCCTGGCGCTTTTATTGCTGTTGAATGTCGAGGAGGCGCTTATGGGTCCGATCCCAAAGCTGATGCATGGTTGTGATGAAATCATGTGCAGGTTGTACCGTAGCGGATGTTGTCGGTTTCTGTGGTGTGAGTGGGTGGCGTCCGTAGCAGAGGAAGAACGGCGTCTGTCCAGTAGCGGCATGCGTAGCATTGTTGTAAGCAAACTCTAGTACGGGCAGGTGTAAGTCCCATTTGGAGATGTCGTCCTTGCAGGCTGCTCGGAGGAGTTGCTCGACAATTTGGTTGAGGCGCTCGGTCTGTCCGTCTGTCTGCGGATGGTATGCGGATGACATACCGAGTTTGGTCCCGAGAAGAGACATAAGTTCCTTCCAGAACTTGCTGGTGAACTTGGGGTCTCGGTCGGAAATGAGTGTGGTTGGGATGCCATGCTGTGAGATGATATGACGAACGAAGAGCTGTGCTGTCTCCTCGGTGCGTGCCGTCGTGTGTGTCGGGATGAAGTGTCCCATTTTGGAGAACTTGTCAATGACGACAAGGATTGCGTCATGACTGCTGGTGGTAGGTGGTAACCCGGTGATGAAGTCTAGGCTAACCACTTGCCATGGCTATTCTGGGACAGGAAGAGGCTGCAGTAGTCCCGCCTTTTTCTGCTTGCTGCTCTTCATCCGCTGACATGTATCACACGAGGTGACGAATTTCTGGACGTCGTCTGCCATATGGGGCCAGTAGTAGTGTTTGGCGATACCGGTGAGCGTCTTGTTGCTACCGAAGTGTCCGGCGTACAGGACGTCGTGGTATTCTTCGAGTAGTAACTGGCGCAAAGGAGGGTAATTGGGTACCCAGATTTTTGTTGATCCTTTCCGGTACGCGATGTCGCTGTCCCACTGTAGCAGATGTCGTTTTTCTGCCAAGGGAATTTCGGGGTCGATGGCGTACCCGTGTGTGAAGAGTCCCTTGAGTAATGGATTCATCCCTTCAATCTGAATGGCGGCAACGTGTGCAGGCCGGCTAAGAGCGTCTGCTTTGTTTTTGTGGTCGGGCTTCTACACGATGTCGTAGTGGAAGTGTGTCTCGAGGAAGTCGATCCACCGGACCTGCCGCCTGGAAAGATTGGGTTGTGTCTTCAAGTATTTCAGGCTGCAGTGGTCGGTGTAGACGGTTGTTCTTCGTCCTTCGAGATAACATCTCCACGCTTTAAAGGCGATGACGATGGCAAGGGCCTCTTTGTCATGTATCGGGTAGTTTAGTTCTGCTCCGTGTAGTTTCTTGCTGAGGTAGGCGATTGGTTGCAGTCCATTCCCCTGGTCTTGCATTAAGACTGCCCCCACTGCCAGGTCGCTGGCGTCAGCTTCGATTACGTAGTCGCGTTCGGGATCTGGCAAGATGAGTACCGGTGCGGACGTGAGTGCTTGTTTCAGCTGCTCCACGGCTTCCTGGTGCTTTGGTTCCCATTTATAGGGCGTGTTCTTCTTCAGCAGATTCGTGAGTGGTGCTGCGATTTTCGCATATTGTGGCACGAACCTGTTGTAGTAATTAGCGAAGCCTAGGAACTGCTGCAACTCCTTCACGTTCTTGGGTGTCTTCCACGTGCGTACGGCCTCGATTTTCTTGGGGTCGACGTGAACTCCTTGAGCGCTCACCATGTGCCCTAGGAACTGGACCTTTTCAAGGGCGAATTCCCTCTTGGACAGTTTGACGTAGAATCGTTCTCGTCGAAGAATTTCGAAGACGCGTCGCAGGTGTTCGACGTGTTGCTTCATATCGCGCGAGTAGATGAGTATGTCGTCCAGGTACACCACCACGCATTCGTCCAGAAGTGGTCGTAGAATGTGGTTCATTTCGGCTTGGAACGTTGCCGGCGCGTTGGTGAGTCCGAACGGCATTACCAAATACTCGTACGATCCGTACCGAGTTCGAAAAGCAGTTTTGTGGATAGAGTTGTCCGCCTTCCGTATCTGCCAGTATCCGGACCGCAGATCTAGTTTGGAAAATACCGTAGCTCCCCGAAGCTGGTCAAGCAGGTCATCGATTCGCGGTATCGGATATTTATTCTTGATGGTCTGCTTGTTAAGAGCTTGGTAGTCGATGCACATGCGCAGGCTTCCGTCCGGTTTCGGTGTGAAGAGTACTGGGGCACCGTACGGCGAAGTGGATGGCCGGATGAGTCCTTTGGCTAGGAGATACTCGATCTGTTTTTTCGTGTCAGTCAGCTCCGTAGGGCTGAGCCGGTATGGTGCTCGGAAGGTCGGCTTCGAACCCGGTTCCTCCACGATCTCGTGTTGATGCGTTCGGTATGGCGGTAGCTCGTTCGGAAGATCGTCAGGAAGAATGTCTTGGAACTCCTTCAGTAATTCCTTGATTTTTTCTGGAGTTTCCGAGGCTTTCTCTCCGTCATTCTCCACCTCTGTTGCTATCGCCAGGAACCCGATGTCGGTCCGCTTCACGTCCTTCTCGAATCGTGCGAGTGTCTCCACTGGGATATCTCCAGTATCGTCCCAGTTGGGTAGCTGTACTCTCCGTCCATTGTTGTAGATGCTTGCGGTGCGGTTCACCCAGTTGATCTCGGGGTTGATTTTTTCAGGAAGTCTCGCCCGAAGATCAAGTCAAGCCCTTTGATGTTGGTGATGGGGAGTGCAGGTCTCCAGCGCAGTGGTCCGATTTGTAGGTGTAGCACTGCTTCGCCGTATACTGGTAACTTGCTGCCGTCCACCATCGTTGCAGAGAATCCTGAAAGGCTTGTACTCTTCCCCGTAGTCGGTCGATTACTGCCTTGTTGCAGACAGTGTGTGACGCTCCGCTGTCCACGAGTGCTTGGAGGCGTCGTCCTTTGCAGATGACCTCGAGCACGAGGGGCAGTCGTTGCTCGGAGTACCCAAAGATAGTTTCATTGATTGGGTCATAGGGTACATCCCAATACTCCGTACACACCTTTGTGTTGCTATCTACTCCTGAGCTGGCAGCTGTCCGAGGCTGCTTGGAGAACGGCTCTTCTCCAGGGCCCGGAGTTTCTTTGACGACTGTGCGCGTCACTGATGCCGAAGAACTGGATGCATCCGTAGGAGGAGATTCGGGGTTTGTGCAGCTTCTTGTAGACCCCCAGCTTCCTCTTGAGCTGCTTCAGCTCCACCGACGTCTTCCCTGGGGAACGGGTAGTCGTTGTGGGCTGGTGTCGGGAGAGGACGTTGACTCCGTGGAAAGGTCGGCTTCTTTCCACACTCCTTAATTTTTTCCCCAAGTTGTCCGGTACCGGTATAATCTCCACAGCTGTCTGCTTCTTTTGGAGTCCCTCCCGAAATTTCTCCAAGGCTCTAGCCCCTCGAAATTCATAAGTTTTCATTAAAGCATCTTTATAAGATAACTTTAACGAATTCTTATAATTTCTTGGGTCTTCAAGGAGTTTCCCCGTCTCGGCAGAGTCTTTTTTCGCGGAGTCGTATTTTTCCTCGGCGATTTTCCCTGGCGAGGACTGGTCGTGGGGTGGAGATTTTCCCCCATCATTTCCTCCTTCTCGCGTCGAATCAGCTTCGTCGAAGTTGATTTTTCCGGAATCCCGCGGCCGTTTTCGGATCTTTTTATTTTCGCCAGCTAGATCCGCAATCACTGGCGACTCCCGTTTTTTTACTTCTGATTGGCTGAAGGAATTCCGCCACTGTTGCGTGCCCGATACTCTGCGCGTGCGGTCTTCATTTTGCTGCAGTCGAAGATTCGATGACCCGGCACCCCGCAAAAATCACACGTGTAGTTGGTGTTTTTCGGACGTGGCGGCCCTCGAATCTGTCGACTTCCATCGGGTCGGCGAACGTGGGGTGAGCCGAGCGGTCGCCCTGTCGCGTACTGCCGACGTGCGTCCGTCGTGTTCCGGCGTTGACCATGTCGAAGCGCTCCGCTGCCGAAACGACGTCACTGTAGCTCGCGTAGTTTGACGCTGCCACTTGTCGTTTGACTTCGGTCTTCAGCCCGGCGAGGTACGATTGTACTTTTTCCCCTTCGGTCAGGTCGGGAATGCGGTTATAAAATTCCTCCATCTGCTGAGTGTACTGCGCTACACTCCCGAACTGTCGGTGTCGATGAATTTTTTCCCGGGCAAGGAAACTGGAATTTATCGGCTCGAAGCGTTTCAGCAGGTCGGTGCGGAACTGCTGCCACGTGGCTTCACCGTGGATGAAAGTACTGTTGCGCCAATCCACTCGAGTGCCGGCCCTCGCATCAGTGTCGCCGGAGTCGTACACGTTGTCCGTCCCAGACTGGCGAGCTCCATCCGACGGCTGCGAAGTAGATCTCCATCCCGGCGATCCATCTGCGGGCGTCGGAGTTTCGATCGCTCGGATCGAACGGCTCAGGTGGGCGCGGTTTCGGAGCCTCGAGAAACTGCTGCGACTGCTGCGTCGTCGCCGTTGTCGTCTCGTGCTGCGCTCCGGCGAGTCGAGTTACTCCTCGAACTGGTTTCGCCACGCTTCGCGATCCGCTCGCATTTCCTCCTGAAGGGCTGCGATGCGCGCGAAGAGCTGCTGGGTAACCTCGGCGTTGTCGAAGGTTGCCATCCTGTTCAAAACACGCACGGAGGGGGTAATTCGAAAATCGCGGAGCTGGTGCTTACCAGAATCGGCGTCGAATTGGTCGCCCCCGCGGTTTTTCGAGGCAGGATCCCCGCTGCTGCTGCTTAGCTGAGCGCGGTCGAGTGAGAAAAGCTCTGATACCAAGTGTGACAGGATCAAATGTGTCGAGGAAAGGTTGCACTATCGATCAGTACAAGGCGCTTTTATACTTCCAAAGTACATCAGGTAACCAGGTTTATCTTATCCTAAGGGAATAGACCCTTCTAGAAGATAGAATCACCCTGCGTATAGCCACGCGAGGCTATTGGCTTTAAGGGATTACGGCAGGATTACGCTAGATATGCGCACCAGTAAATCCCAAGCCTGGTCGGTGATGTAATTATAATAGCAGGATAAACCAAAGGTGAATGCAAAATGGAGAAGAGGAAACCAAATGAGATGAGATAAAAAGAGAAATGAAAAAGGAAAAAGGGACAAGTGGTGTAACGGGGTCGTACTCTCACACCCGGCTGGCCACATTTATAACACCTGCCATAAAATCTGTTATCTGTCATCTGTTAATGGATAGGTAACTATTCTACCCTCGAAAACGACTTCCCTCCCGAAAATTCGTCCTCGGCCATACATTGTTCTCGTCTCACGCCTCTGTGACCTGCTGCACCTCCAGGAACGTCGCCAGGCGGCGAATGCGAATTGCGCGCTGGACCTTCGATTTCAGCCCTATGATGTATCGACCTGTCTTCTCCGTCTCGTGTAGATCGTCGATTTCGTCGCAGATGGCGAGGAAAGATGACGTGTACTCCAGCAAAGAACCTAGTTGACGCCATCCGTGCAGCTTCACACGAGCGTTTTCACATGCGGATACATGCTCGAAGCGTCGGCGAAGCAGTGCACCCCACTGTTGCCAGGTGAGGATCTCAGGCAGACCAAATAAGGATCCTGTAGGAGTTGAAGCCAATCGTCGCTCCCCGTCCATCTCCTGTTGCCGGTCTGCCGGAGTCCCTCATGACGTCACGTGCTGTCGCCACCAACTTAATGCAGGTCCGTGTAATAAAGACACCGCCAACTTCGTGCGTGTCTCATCGTCGTTGACGTCGGCGACATTGAAGAACATTTCCATGGCGAACAGCCACCCACTCAGCGTGGTGTGTTTCTCCAGGGGGTTGAACGGCGGGGCATGGCAGGTTTTATCTTCACAACTGCCCGTCGCTCGCTCGAACTGTCGTCACGTGTCGCTGACTTCACCTGCGGTTGATGCGCGCTCGCACTATCTTCGTCCACGGTGACAGGCGACTCCTGACGCGTCGCACCACGCGTCTCACGACGGCTCACGTTCTCTTTCAACGCAGCGAGCCCGAGGGCCATGGCCTCCATCTTCGCCATCATTTCGTCAACCTTCGTTGTCAGTACGGATGCGCTTGTTATCGCCTCTGACAACTCAGCTATTTGCTCGGGAGTCATAACTCTAGTACTACTGCGAGGAGGGCTATTGACCATGAATTACCCTTACTAGCTAACGCCACTAAAGACACTACGGGCACCTGCAGCGTTAGAGACGTGGAGCACACATGACAAAGTCGGCGGAACTGAAGAAGTTCCTGCACGACCGCTGGATAGCTCCTGTCTCCTAACGTGCGAGGTCCCTCTAAAAACTACCTCACTACGGAAGCCAAAATGGACAGGAACGTAGCTCTGATACCAGCTGTTATGATCATCTTCGGATAGGAGTTGAGTAATGCAATAGTGAGGTCGTGATTAAAGTGTGTCGGGTACAAATGAAGCACAGGGCTAAATACATGCACAGCTAGCCTAGCAAGAGAGCCTCAAGGAAGGCCACGAAACACACGCGAGGTGGTTCGGGGCACCTTGGGACTCGGAAGTGTCGGATGCGACGCCGCGTGCAGGCTTGGGGTCTCGAACGTAGTTCGAATCTGAATTGACGGGCCGAGCCTGGACTTCCGAAAGTCAGGGCTGTACTCGATGTTAGCGAGGCTTGATAAGGAAAAGGAATTTTCCGTACATGTTAGGTTTGACGTCATTTAGAGGTACAGTACAGTTGCTCAAGCTTTCAAAACGGTAGAAGATCTTTGGATGACCTTTTACTGCACCTATTACCGTAATCCCCCGTATATAACACCCTATGGTGTATATAAAAATTCACTAAAAAAATGACTGGGTGTTAACAGTGGCCCGGAAAAATATAGTGCCCATGTGTTATGTAAATGCAATTTGAATTTGAGAGTTGTTGAAAGTACATCAAAAGACTTAAGCGTTTCTGAAGTGTAACACTACACTCGAGGAAGATTGCAAGGGGTACGCGAGTCAACGGAGGTTACACGAGGGGGCGGACAAAGAACACGAAGGGTTTGGGACTCAAAGGGTCGCAACTGGAGGTTGCGACTGACCGTTACAACAGCACGGATGGTAACCGAAGCGACAATCGAGTCGCTGTACGACTCGATAAACCGCTACTGCAACTGTACTCTACAACTGTTTCTTATCTTCTATATATTGCTGTATGTTTGCCTTTTTATCATCACTTGTTCTCACATACTAGTACAAGGGTTCAACTGCCTCAACTTCCGCTGCACTACCCCAAGTCTTTACAGTTGGGACTTAGTCTCTGGAAAGATCCCAAGGGCTTTTCTCAGCCCAACATGGTATGAGAGCTGGTCAGAGACCAAACTCCCAGCAACTACGTTCTATCACCAACCTGCAACTCAACTCAATTCAACGACTTCATTGATTGCAAGACATGGACAGCAAGGGCAAGAAAGTCTCTACGGGCTCACCCAGCGGCCAAGAAACTCAACACGGCAACTCTGGTCTGCACACCTCAGGACTGCAGACAGAGACCGGGACTGCTCAAGAAACAACGGGAAGAGTACCAGAGATGGTTACTCCATCTCCCTCTTCAAGCGTGGACCCCAACCTTATGGAAAGGTTCTTCAGCTTCATGTCGCACTTCGACCAGCAGCAGCAGACAAGAACACCTGCGCATTCAACACAGAGCAATGGAGGAAACATGGGATTAGCGCCGATGAGCCTCGACAACTCATCCTTCGGGCGACACAACCAAGCGCCTACCTTTGCGCCGTATCATTCTTCACCGGGGACGTTCGAGTTCATGCCGCCCCGCGCCCAACCAACAGCAGCTGCATCACAACAAACACCAAACGAGATTCTCAGTCTTCAGGCTCAATTCTCACACGTTATTAAGTTACAAACATCCTCACCGTTCAACGGACACGACTTCTTTACCTGGAGCTTCGAGTTCGAGCTGCTGATGGAGGCCGCGCATCTTCTGGGATACTTCAACGGGTCCCTGCCATTTCCAAGCAACGGCACTGGAAAGGAGCAAGAGATCTTCACGTATCAGTCGCTGCTGGCGTATACAGTCCTCCTGCGGAACCTGTCACCACAAGAACAGCAGAGCATCAGAACATATCGGAGTTATGGGAACTCCGCGGAACTCGCATGGCATCATCTCAAGTGCCTTTATCAAGCAAACGACAGCGTGACACAAAGCAGACTCATGCAACAACTGACAACAATACAGATGAAGACCGGGGAAAAGGCAATGCAATATATGAGTCGATGCCAGACTCTCCGCGACCGCCTGCTTCGTGCGGAGGAACAATCACTGAAGAAAGCTTCGTGACACTTGTCCTCGCCGGGCTCGGGCCAGAATGGAGAACCACACGATCACTTCTTCGCGCCCACGGAAGAATTTCGGAGATGCACCTCTGCGCCGAGCTTCACGCTGAACAACAGGAGATGGACCTGTTCGAAGAAAGGCAACCAAGGAAGCAGCAGCAGTTAGTCTTCTACACTCAACGAAGAAACGACAACACCTACAATCGACGCAGCAAGCAAGAGCGCGACAACAGAGGGACTACCTTTGTGCCGCCGTTCTGCCACAACTGTCAGACTTCCGGGCACTCCAAGGTCAACTGCAACCGCCCTCGCGTTTACCGTCCAGCAAACCCACAAGTTGCTTCAACCCAAGCAAGTCCCCCAAGGCGCTCTTCAACATCTGCACAACAGACACCAAACATTATCAATTGCATGGTACACATCGACAACTGTGCACCCGGCTCACCACCCACTTACGCGCCAGACGAAGAAGAGCTCCCGCCACCACGCTCACAAGGACTTCAAGTCAATCCGACGTACGCTGCGGTCGCCAACGCCGAACCAACCGGACGAAACACCTGGTTCCTGGACAGCTGCTGCGGTCAACACATGTGCTCCTCGGGACGCTTCGTGCAACAGGAGAAACGGCTCAACCGCGACGTCGTCATCACCGTCGCCAACAACGAAAACCTGAAGACAAACAGACAAGGCGTGGTTCAGTTACAATCCATGGAGACAAACGTAATACTTCAGCTCAACAAAGTACTCATCGTCGACAACTTGGGATACAACCTACTAAGCGTAAGCCAACTAATGGCCAAGGGGATTCACCTGGAGTGCGACTCCTTCTCCAACGAGTTCCGGCTTTACCACGGGAAGGGCGGCCTCTTCATAGGTCGTGCCCTCCTGAAGTCCGGTGTCTTCGTGTTGGACTTTGTCCCCGACCGCGGTACTGCCGACAGCGACGGTATCGTATCGTTCGCCGCCTGGACACACCCGCCGGATCTTGATCCCGACTTCGACAGTGACGGCTTCTGGCACTCCAACACCATACCTGCAGCAGAAAGAACACGAGCATTAGCAGTTATCAGACAAGAACGGCAAGTACCAACAAGCGTCCAGTCCCAACCATCACCTGCAGTAGCAGCAGCAGGACCAAGCCGAGTACCACCACCGGCAGTCCGAGGACCGCCAACCGAAGCAGATCAACTTATGCCCATCACACGAGAAGTCTGTCGAAGTCCCGCCACAGTCGTCGCATTCTTCTCCAACGCCGACATATACCACCGCTCACCCGGCCATCGCGCTCCCGACGACATCTGGCACCAACGCCTCGGGCACCCTGCAAATAGTACAATACTACAAACCATCCAAGCCGAAGTGTTAGAACGCAACGCCCTCCTAACAACGAACGGCCAAGAACTTCGACGACCTCGCGCACGGTGCTTCACGTGCCCCGACGGTTTTTCGAGGCAGGATCCCCGCTGCTGCTGCTTAGCTGAGCGCGGTCGAGTGAGAAAAGCTCTGATACCAAGTGTGACAGGATCAAATGTGTCGAGGAAAGGTTGCACTATCGATCAGTACAAGGCGCTTTTATACTTCCAAAGTACATCAGGTAACCAGGTTTATCTTATCCTAAGGGAATAGACCCTTCTAGAAGATAGAATCACCCTGCGTATAGCCACGCGAGGCTATTGGCTTTAAGGGATTACGGCAGGATTACGCTAGATATAGCGCACCAGTAAATCCCAAGCCTGGTCGGTGATGTAATTATAATAGCAGGATAAACCAAAGGTGAATGCAAAATGGAGAAGAGGAAACCAAATGAGATGAGATAAAAAGAGAAATGAAAATAGGAAAAAGGGACAAGTGGTGTAACGGGGTCGTACTCTCACACCCGGCTGGCCACATTTATAACACCTGCCATAAAATCTGTTATCTGTCATCTGTTAATGGATAGGTAACTATTCTACCCTCGAAAACGACTTCCCTCCCGAAAATTCGTCCTCGGCCATACATTGTTCTCGTCTCACGCCTCTGTGACCTGCTGCACCTCCAGGAACGTCGCCAGGCGGCGAATGCGAATTGCGCGCTGGACCTTCGATTTCAGCCCTATGATGTATCGACCTGTCTTCTCCGTCTCGTGTAGATCGTCGATTTCGTCGCAGATGGCGAGGAAAGATGACGTGTACTCCAGCAAAGAACCTAGTTGACGCCATCCGTGCAGCTTCACACGAGCGTTTTCACATGCGGATACATGCTCGAAGCGTCGGCGAAGCAGTGCACCCCACTGTTGCCAGGTGAGGATCTCAGGCAGACCAAATAAGGATCCTGTAGGAGTTGAAGCCAATCGTCGCTCCCCGTCCATCTCCTGTTGCCGGTCTGCCGGAGTCCCTCATGACGTCACGTGCTGTCGCCACCAACTTAATGCAGGTCCGTGTAATAAAGACACCGCCAACTTCGTGCGTGTCTCATCGTCGTTGACGTCGGCGACATTGAAGAACATTTCCATGGCGAACAGCCACCCACTCAGCGTGGTGTGTTTCTCCAGGGGGTTGAACGGCGGGGGCATGGCAGGTTTTATCTTCACAACTGCCCGTCGCTCGCTCGAACTGTCGTCACGTGTCGCTGACTTCACCTGCGGTTGATGCGCGCTCGCACTATCTTCGTCCACGGTGACAGGCGACTCCTGACGCGTCGCACCACGCGTCTCACGACGGCTCACGTTCTCTTTCAACGCAGCGAGCCCGAGGGCCATGGCCTCCATCTTCGCCATCATTTCGTCAACCTTCGTTGTCAGTACGGATGCGCTTGTTATCGCCTCTGACAACTCAGCTATTTGCTCGGGAGTCATAACTCTAGTACTACTGCGAGGAGGGCTATTGACCATGAATTACCCTTACTAGCTAACGCCACTAAAGACACTACGGGCACCTGCAGCGTTAGAGACGTGGAGCACACATGACAAAGTCGGCGGAACTGAAGAAGTTCCTGCACGACCGCTGGATAGCTCCTGTCTCCTAACGTGCGAGGTCCCTCTAAAAAACTACCTCACTACGGAAGCCAAAATGGACAGGAACGTAGCTC